TATATATATATATATATACATAGTCAGCAATACCAGCTGGTAAAAAAAAAATCATTCACTGTAGAGACATAAATGGACATAACCATCAGTCTCAGTTGTACTTTCCATCCACCGCTGTAAACTGCAGTATTCTTTTCTTGATATGCTTAATTTTTGCATCTGTGAACATAGAGCTGATGTGCCTTGCCAAAACGTTCCAGTTTGGTCTCGTCTGTCCAGAGGACATTCTCCCAGAAGCTTTGTGGCTTGTCAACATGCAGTTTGGCAAATTCCAGTTTAGCTTTTATATGATGTGTTTTCAACAATGGGTCCTCCTTGGTTGTCTCCCATGAAGTCCGCTTTGACTCAAACAACGATGGATGGTGCGATCTGACCCTGATGTACCTTGACCTTGGAGTTCACCTTTAATATCTTTACAGGTTGTTCTGGTCTCTTTTGTTACCATTCGTATTATCGTCTCTTCCATTTGTCACTAATGTTCCTCCTGTGGCCACGTCCAGGGAAGTTGGCTACAGTCCCATGGATCTTAAATTTCTGAATAATATGTGCAGCTGTAGTCACAGGAACATCCAGCTGTTTGGAGATGGTCTGACAGCCTTTGCCTTTAACATGCTTGTCTATAATTTTGTTTCTAATCTCCTGAGACAGCTCTTTCCTTGACTTCCTCTGGTCCATGTTCAGTGTGGTCCACACCATGTCACCAAACAGCACAGTGACTACCTGTAACCTTATAGGCCCACTGATTGATTACAAGTTTGTAGACACCTGTGATGCTAATTAGAGGACACACCGTGATTGGACATGTCCCTATGGTCACATTATTTTAAGTCTTTTCTAGGGGTACCATCATTTTTGTCCAGGCCTGTTTCATGAGGTTATTTTTGAAAATAATTCTGTTGAACCACGGTTCAAAAGCAATGTCTGATTTTCATTGCCTAATTTTTATTGAATTTTTAATTATTATTACTTTTGTCAGATTCAAGTTATTTCTGTGACCATTGTGGGTTTTTCTTTCATTAACCGAGGGATACCAACAATTTTGTCCACGTGTGTATAGTTTGGAAAGGTGGTGCTAATGGTAAATAATACAACTGTCAAATTTCGTGTTCACCACTGTGAACAGTACTGCACAGCACAATACAATACAATAGAAAACAAGTACAGTTGCAGCCTTGCACAGTGGATGTAGCCGTAAACAGGGCTTTATGAAAAAAATGTTACCTGGAACATGTGAGACTGAATGATTGGTTAATGATATGCTAACTGCGGCATTTAAACACGTACTAGTTTACTACTGCAGTTTCCCAATTGGCCAGAAATGATTAAGCAAAAACAATGTGTCATGCATTGATCACAGCTCTGATCTTGTTGAGAAATAATCTGAATAATTACAATTGCAGAGTGTCGCTATTGCTTCACTTCTAAGCACACCACGTCAATATGTCGGGATAACAGAAGCTTGGTTTACATAAAATGTCACAAGGTTCTTTCCATAGTGTGTGAATACAACACACCCTCACAGTGCACAAATTCTTTTATTCTTTTATTAATGGAAAAATATGTGTTCCAAGTGGAAAGTAGTTGGCCTTGGTGTAAGTGACAAGAGATCACTGCCTCAGCATTTATCAGATATTAGTTACTGTGCTGTCACCTATCACCTAGCAAAATGTGACAGACCAAAGGGTGGCCGAACTGATGTTATCATAATAATACAATCAGATCATAAGACTTTATTATCGTCATTTGTACAAGATTGGAAGTTTACCTGGGTTTAGAATGACACATCATCGCAGTTGAGTTAAAACCAGTGTATTCTGATTAGATGTCCTCAAAGGGATATGTTCTTGTATCTATATTTACTCAGACATTGACACTTACACAAAACACACACATTTCCCATGAACCAGGCCTGAACTGAACATGATCCTCTACAAACAGCCAAGGCAAGCGTTAGCTCCACTTAATTCTGAACAGACACTTCCATAAGGTCATTCACACACTTTCCTGTCATGTTTGCATTCCAGCTAAATATACTGAAACCAGTGAACAACAACTCTCTCTCTCTCTCTCTCACACACACACACACACACACACACACACACACACACACCTTGTACTCCTACAGTTTTTTGCTCTTTCTTATCAGTTTGGCTATTTTCTAGTTTAATTTTAAAGAAAGACATTTTGCTGTTAGTTCTGTCTTCTGGATGAAAAACAGAAAAGGTTAGTTATGTTTTATGATGACTTGTGAATTGTAACCTGTAATGTTGTAATAAACTTGAATGCTAGATTATCATGGTGGATAAATAAGTTTTGAAAACACAGTCCTGGCACTGAGCAGTTTTTCCTCAAACAATCTGAGTTCCTGCAGCACACAAACTATTTTTACTCCTTCAGTGCACAACAGCAGCGCTGCAGCCAACTTTTAACGTTGTTTTCATGTCCTGAAAAGCTACTAGATTTCCATTTCATCACAATGACCTGTCCTGTCTGTCCTGACCACATCCTCCCTCCACTGAAAGTTGAGGGTTACAGATATCAGTGAGAACAATGGTCAAGGATAAGGCAGACTTCCAGCAGTGAAACAGGGAGTTCTTCATAATTGCTGTTAATGATTACGGTCTTGATAAGCGGCAGAGGTGGCATTTATTGATGGCACCACTGTCTGAGGTCCCAGTTGGTCTCCAAGTGCTGAAACAGGAGGAGGAGGAGAAACTTTGGATTTCAGACAGATTAGACGCTGTCAGGTATGTGTGTACATGAAATGTTGACAGGGAAAAGATTTTTTTGATACTTTTCAGACATTTTGCCTTTATTGGACAGGAAATGGAGACAGACAGAGAATACAGGGAGGGAGAGCAGGGAAATGACATACAGCAGGAGTCTATCTGGTTGGAAAGGGAAACGAAGACTTCCTGCTCAGGAATGATGTAACATGTGCCTTAACCACTTGGCTACCAGGGAACCCCAAATTTTAAGTCTAAAGTCCCCTTGAAAAGAAGACACTCCATTGGTTCTGACATATTTGATCTCAAGTTGAAGAGTGCTAATATTTTCTTTTGCGATCTAGATCTTGAAAAGAAAAACTGATCTTGTAAAAGTCAGGTAGCTAAAACATCTCAGTGCTAAAATTCAGAATGCTCTTCTCTGATGTTAATGTTTCTAGAGCTCAAATACAGCCTGACAAATCTTCCCCCAGGATAGTGCAGGTCCTGACCTGCCTCATGGGCTCTGCTTGTATTTAAGGGTCTGGACCTTTGTTGTTTACGCTTAATGTTCTTTGATAAGTGATGTTCAAAAGCAAGACAGGGACCTCATCCTAAACTAATCTGATTAATGGATCTAAGAGCTACATAGAGAGGAAGCAGAGGACCTCCAGGCAGCAGAGGCGAAATGATGCGACCAGGAGCTAAGCAGTATGTGGTGGCCAGACCACGATACTCGGAGGAGTCCTTCGCTGAAGAGCACGAGAAGGTCTACAGACATCGCAAAACCATTCTGGACCATGTCAAACAGTATTTCACGTAAGGAGCATGCAGTGCTTTTCAATGAATGTTAAGATAATTAACGGGAGATGGGGATAATGAAACTCATGAAGCTTTTTTAGTTGAAAGTACAGTGTATACTCATTGTCATCAACTAAAGTCTGTATGTATGTGCAACCTGCAAGTTGTAGCATCATGCTATTACCTACAACTTGTTAAACTTTTGCCTCAGCTTTTACAGTTAGTTACCCTAACTTTTTTGGTCAGTGCAAAAGAATTATTTTTTATGTAACACTTACAACATTGTATCTGTTTGTAGAAGAACCGAACAACCACCACCCTGTCTATATTCATACTTATGTTTTGGTCCTAAGACATTACACTATTCACATGGACAATATGAACTTTATCTGACAATGGTCTAAGGATTAAAATCTTTAAAATTTTCAACACTGTCTGAAGTTCCTGTCTAAAAAACTTAATAGTAAGTAAGACCTTGCAGAAATTGTTTGTATACAGTATAAATGATCTAAAATGATACTTCTTAGTTGTGGTCCAGAGATTTTAACAGTGGTATTTACTGGACTTTACTTAAAAAGTGGGTAATTTAACCACACTCTCCCTTTCTAGGTGATGCCTTATTTTAGTATAATTCTTTTCTTAGTTTCTTGTCCTTTCACTCACCAATGTTGAACCTTGAAATTGTGTTTTTCTGAACCTGGTACACCATCTGTCTTTGGAAGCTGGCTTCTCAGCCACTGGCTACTTTGGGTGTGATTGATTGTATTTTATCCTTTAACTGCTGTGCAGGTACAAGGACCAGTGACAGAAGGAGTGTGTAGATTTCAGAAAAATAGATTCAATATTTGCCACATTTTTCCTTTTTTAAAACCTGAAAAAAAATATCCATGCAAAACCAAAATGAACAACTTTAGGCTCTGTGAACAAGAGACACTTGGAAGAATTTTGAAATACAATGAGTCTTCTTGCCCACATCATCAGGACAGAGTGACAGTTGTAAGATGTACATTTACCTTTTTTGTTCCACCTAATCAAGACTGGTTTTAGGTTGTGCTGTTATAAAATATTTTTTTAATGGATGTATTCCTTTTATTGTATTTTCTGTTCTGTGCTGTCTCTTGGCCAGGTTGTTATTGTAAATGAAAATTTGTTCTCACTTAACCCACCTGGTTAAATAAGGAAACATTGAAAAAACACAAGATAAAAATAAAAAAGTTACAGCCTTGTTATGGCACACAGACTTCCACAGTAGAATGGGTTAAACCCTGAAGAATAGGTTTGGTAATTGTACTGCATATTCCTACTCTTCATATTAGAATAAGGCTTTTCCTCTCCAGTCCACACACTCTTTATTTTGGTTGTGGCTTATATGAAGTTTCAGATAAAGCTAAAGTGAGTCAGTATCATATTCAGAGTTAGTGTATTACAGGGATCTCCAGGTCCGGTCCTTGTGAGCTACTGTCCTGCAGGTTTTAGATGTTTCCGTACTGCAACACACCTGACTCACATTAATGGATCATTAACAGACTTGTGTAGAACTTGACAACAAGCTGTTGGAGATCCATTAATTTGAATCAGGTGTGCTGCAGTGTGGAAATGTCTAAAACCTGCAGGACGGTAGCTCACGAGGACCGGACCTGGAGATCCCTGGTCTATAAAGTACAAATTTTCCCTCTTTCTGTTTTTTGATCCAGAACAGCAGTGATGTGTGTTATGTTGCTATGTTTTAGGGTTTTGTTGTATTTTGGGGGAAAAGCTTTAGGACCAATATGGAGAGCAGGAATAATTATAGGAACCTATTCCTCTGTGGATGGCCCATGTGTGTGTTATGTTATATAGTATATTTCTAGGTTAATAAGTAAATAGTATTTCGTGGTTGTAGTTGGTCATGATGTACTTGTTTTAATTGTTCACTTTTGAGTAACTCGATCTGTTGAAATGAATGTTTTTCATAAACTCATTCTGTATTTTGTGTGCAAAGTCTTAGTCTGCAAAGTAACTACAAACTATAGATGTTAAATAAATTCAGTGGGGAAACACATACAAAAATGTTCTTTTAAGTGTGTAACACAACATCAAATAGAAATACTTGACTACTTGATTAATTGTGCTAAATTACTTTCCTCCAATGTCAAACATCTTCCTGAAATATTGACAAGCTAAAAATCTGTCACCACCTCTATGACACTGTCAGAGTATTGAATTAGTTTTTTCTAGATTTCATCAAATCCAGCAACTTAGAACATCAAGCTTGGTCAGTGCACCATCTTCTGTTTCCTATTTAATATGGACCTAATGCTTAGTTATATATCATTATAGATGTGATGCCAAACGAACCAAGAACGCAGCTCTGTCTCTTCTGCCGTTCATCGGCTGGATCAAAAACTATCAAGTCAAAGAGTGGTTGCTCGGTGACATTGTGTCTGGCGTCAGCACTGGACTGGTGGCTGTCCTGCAAGGTAATTACAAAGCGTGAGCTTACAGCATCTGACTGAAAGGTCTGATATTGATCTTCCAGTTTTCTTTGTACATTTCAATCCAGATTGCAAAACTAGAAGGTTATCAGTAACGTCAGTCCCACTGCATTCACTAAGAACCGAGAGTTAAAGAATGCATCTTGAATCACAATGTTGGTAGAAAAAAAAGAATCTGGAATTCACCATTGTATTTTATAGTGTTACTGTATTATTCAGAGGGGTTCATGTATTTTAACAGAAAAGTGATGTTTTTACTTCGAAGTCAGAAGCTTCTCTCTCTCTCTCTCTCTCTCTCTCTCTCTCTTTCTCACACACACACGCACACACACGCACACACACACGCACACACACACACAGAAAGAAAGAATTTTTTTTCACTTGCATGTTTCATATCAAGTGTATTCCTGTTTTATTGCCAAAATGTATTAATACTCATTATTAGTGCTTCGGGCTGAGCACGAGCCCACTACTCTTATCCTGGTGCGTTTCTTCTTATTATTAGTCTTCCGTACAAAGTTTTGATAGGCTACTCCTCCCACAGATTTCAGAGCACCCACACAAATTATACATCAAAACGTGCGGCTCGATCGGGAATCGTGTGCTTACATGCAGATTTACTAAAATCGCATTTTTCGCGACACAATTCGCAAAAACGTCGCAAAAACCTCCCATTGAAAATGAATGGGACGGACGAAAAAAACACAAAAAATTACACTACTTTTCAAACCTCCACTGCTCAGCCATGCTTTCACCTAGAGACTCCATTTCAACTTTGAAATGTTGACGCTTTTTCATATCTTCAATCGTTTCTTCGTGACAACCTCTCAAGTTTTCAAACTTTTTCACCTCTTTTCAGCCTTTACAATGGGTGTGTATGTGGTCCTTTAGAGCAGCGGTACCAAACGACCCACGGCCGCGGACCGGTACCGGGCCGTGGGTCGTTTGGTACCGGGCTTCACAGATAGAATAAAAACATTTTATTGGTTTATTTTTATTTCCAGCGGAGTCTGCAGGGTGTTTTATTTTGAAACATGACTAGCTCGTCTTCCCGTCACTTGACTGTCAGTTTTTATGCCCGGCTGCTAAACGAAGCCGTCAGTCAACAACAAACGTCTCAGGAGAGCTGCTTTGGAAAGTGGGAGAGACTTAATACTGAGACAGGAGAAAAAGTAAACATGTTAAGCAATAAAAATTAATTTTATTAATTTATGAAACTTCTCAATAGAAAAAAAAAACAATTATTATTTGTTAATGAGCGGTCCGTGGTGCAAACAAGGTTGAAGACCGCTGCGTTAGAGTGAGTGATGACGTCACCAGAGTGGGAGCTCAGAAAAAAATCACACAGTAAATCTTTTTTTAACTTGTCGCCCTGGCCCCAACTTTTATGCCACAGACATCATTTTTACATCAAAACGTAGGGACATTTGTCCTCCCGCCACAATGTCACTTTCTAAGCCCATAGAATTAAGTTTGGGGGAGTTTTGGAGCCTTGTTCCTCCACAAGTCTCTCTTCCTTCCCCATCTGCCCCCATTCAAAGACGGCTCCTGATTTTTCTCAAGGACCACAACTTTACACATTTTTTCTCAAATGATTTTTTACTCTAGGAAAATTTTAAAAAATACATCTCTGTAATGCCCATAGTCTTGGCTTTTTGAAAATGTGCTCGGCTTTTCTCTCCGACACACGGCTTTGAAGAAAATGGCGGTTGTTTGAGGTCTTCGCCTTCTGCTTCCTTCTACTGATTTGACAGTTAAACCAAGTATCTGTTACAGCTGTGTGCTTGGTTGCCCGGCAACGCTGTAACCCTCCCCCCCTGCTCCCTCCACACAGATGAGGCTTCGGTTATTCAAAGTTTTTAGTAGGTTTGAGAATTATAAAATCATCATTTAAATCCCGGCAGACTCCCGTGGCACTATCAAATTTTCTGCAAGGACATTTTCTAGTTTAATTTGTTGTTTAGCAACTGTCTTTTTGAAGCAATTTCCTTCTGAAAGTCCCCAGATGATAGATGGTAGGAATCAAATCTTTTGAAGTTGTAGCTTGACTTAACTGGTTTCTTCTTCTGAACGGCTCTACTTTATCATTAATACTGGTGTCTTATCTAATAAAATATGATAACCTATCGTTAGCCTCTTGCCTGTTATCTGAGCTGTTTAGAACTGTTTACAATGAAATGTAGTGTTCAGCAGCAGGTTATGGTCATCAAGGTGTTATTTTTGTATATTTGATCTGTCTTTTTTCTATACATTATTATTTTTGTAGTTCTCAGTGGGGGTCATTCTATCATTGCTTCAGCATCTATGGAGACAGTGACAATGTTTAATGTACCATAAACTGATATAACAATGTGTGTTTTTGGTATATACAATAAATCATTTCAGAAATGTCAGTTTTTTCACAATGAGATCATTAAACATTACATTTTAGTTCATTTTGAAAGTAAAATAATTTAAAGAAATTATCCCGCATAGTAGCCGTGACTGACAGCCACCATCTGACTGTAACACACATTGAATAGTATAATAACAATAGTATAAAATACTATAAAGTGAAACGATGTGAAAGAAACAGGGGGAACATACTGTAAATATGTGTGATGTGTGTGTTTGTGTTGCAGGTCTGGCCTACTGTTTGTTGGCCTCTTTGCCGCCCTGGTATGGACTCTTTTCTGCCTTCTTTCCTGTTATCATGTACTTTTTCCTTGGCACCTCCAGACACATCTCAGTGGGTAAGGCCAGTTTCTTCATAGCTGCTCTCAAAATGCTTCAAAATCACTCAATAATCTGCCAATTCCTCACTGTTTCTCTGCAGGTCCATTTCCAGTCTTGAGTCTGATGATAGGCTCAGTGGTGACCAGGCTTGTCCCAGATGAAGGGCTGCCCATGAACATCACAGCATTCAATGGTCTGACAACAGACGAGCAAAGAGTGTTGGTGGCTTCCTCTGTGACCTTCCTTGCGGGTCTCATGCAGGTAACACTTCACCGCAACCGCTTACTTCATCTCTGTAACAACGAAATAAACTCTGCCAGTCCGATATATTGATTCAAGACTGAATTAAACACAACTAGTGGTAGAATGACAGAGTTACAGGTGAGGTTTGGAAACATCAGAAAGGCCCAGTTTCAAAATGTTGTGACAGCAACCATCTGCAGAAGTGCCCTTGGCAAAATAGTTGCTTTTTTGTTGTTGTTTTTTTTGCACGTTATGTTTTCTTTAAAAGGGTTCTATGACAACACTTTATAAGCCTCTTCATTTGTGCGCTCCAACTTTATAATCCAGTATGCGGGAATCTGTTTTTTACCTGCTGGATGTGCTCATCCAACTCTGTCGCACCTGTCTCATGTAATAGATGTGTGAAGACTTCCTTTTGGTTTAAATCATAGCATGTATTTTCTTTAAAACGGTTCTATGAGAGTACTTTTTGTGAGCTCCAGTTTTATAATCCCTCATTAAGTCTTTATTAAACCTTAAATATACTCCATTGCTGATACGCATGCAGAGAACTGTGACACCACAGCTGCGTAGTTGCTGTTATACTACTTTAGTGTCTGCTGGGAGAACTCAGTTTCATACAGTAAAATAGATAGGCATCTACATGCTCCTTGTATTCTTATTACTGCCAACCATGTGCATTACTGCCCTTGCAGCATGGCAGCAGCATGAACTGTTGCACTTTCTACAATCACTAGTTTGCAAGGGTCCACATGAAATAGATTCCAGTCAGCTAGAGTCTGTGTGGACCCCTCTGTGGACATCTCCATGCAGCCCCAAATGTGTGTCCATGCAGACAGTCTGACCATTAAACTCTCTTACAAGTGCACATGAACAATTATGTATCAGTGGTATTCAAAGCTGTGCACACCTGGAAATACATTCAAGGCTTAAGGCTGGTGTTATACTTTGCACGTCCGCAAATACACGAGGATCCACTGGGGTCCGCATGATGGAAATTTCTTTATCTTACCAAGTTTGCAAGAATTCATGCAGACTCTTCTAAGGATGTATATGTGTAGGCCAAAATTTGTGTCCACCTGGACAGTCCCCATGAAGCTACGCTACAAGGGTTCACAGTGTACATGCTCGGAAATAGTGTTCAAGCATGGAATATGTGGATTCGACCTACTGCACATGTATAGAACAGTGTGCTAAGCAAACTCCAGCAGACTCGAAAAGTAGAATAATAGCAACAACTACACATCTGTGGTGTCCTCAGTTGTCCGTGTGTGTGTCCTCAGTGGAGTATAATTAAGGTATAACACTGACCTTGTACTTTCTACTGATTAGAAAGTAGTAAAACAAACAAAGACGGGAGTGGTCTCTCCCAGAATGACCCCATCCACAGGGCACGAAGGGTCACTTAAGGGTTTAATTTTGCTCCACCATCCTCATCACAACATGAGGGAATATCTTGGGATGAATGGTGGTTATCCATTCAGTAGAGTTGCAGAGACTTGTAGAATCAATGCCAAGGTGTATTGAAGTTGTCCTGGGGACCCAGCACCTTCCTAAGAAGCCTGTTGTTCTTCTCTTCATGGTTATCTGTCACCTTTATAACAACTAACTTATATAGAGGACTCAAAAATCCCACAATTGAAAGAAAAAAGTATACCTATGGCGTGTGCACTAGTTTCTTCAAAGCATTCCACAATGCAGTGTGTTGCATGTTCCAGTAGAAGTTATCCAACTGAATGACAGCAGTGTATTGTTGGACACAGCTGCCAACCTCTGTGCCCTCAAAAAGAAAAGGTACTATCAACTCATCAGTACTAACACGAGTAAAATCCCATTTTCGTTCTTCAAAAGTACTTCAGAAAATCAATTATTACTCGAAAATATCCTAATGTTTCTATAAAACAAGAGAATGTTACTGTGATTTAAAAGAAAGTTGCCTGTTTAAATAGCAAAATAAAAAGAAATAGAGTATTTTTCTATTCAATTATATTCTAAAATCGTGAGGACCTTTGTAAAAAAAATAAATAAATAAATAAATAAATATTTCTGTTAAATGTGGTGAATTTATGGATACAAGACACTATAGGTTTTTTGTGTGTATACGTGTAGCCTATAAATGAACAGCACTATAGGCACATTTTTAGGTTTGGTGTTGTTATGAAGTCTTTTTCTAAAATGTCTTACTTGATTGTCTCTGTTATTGATTTCAAAAAATGACAAAATCTGTCAGTTTCAGTCATCATGACCTTTGTCTTTTCCAGCTGGCGATGGGTATACTACAGGTGGGCTTTGTTGTCATGTACCTGTCTGACACTCTGGTATCCGGCTTCACCACAGCAGCGGCTATCCACATCCTTGTGTCACAGCTCAAGTTTGTGTTGGGGATGCAAGTCCCAGGAATCAGTGGACCGCTGGCCCTCATATATGTAAATATAGAACAGTTTAATGCTTTTCTTTGCTTATTTATCTCAGCCATGGAGGAAGTGACCTTTATCTGTTATACTTCTGTTTCAGACGCTGGAGATCATCTTTAACAAGATCACTTCCACCAATGTCTGTGATGTAGTGATGTCCCTGGTTATTATCATGGTGGTGTTTATCGTCAAGGAGCTAAATGACAGATATAAATCCAAGCTGCCTGTGCCAATCCCGATTGAAGTTATCATGGTGAGCAGCATAGTACAACATGATTCATTTAAAAGTTTCCATGAGGGATTGAAAACAAGGTACTTTCATAAACAGTGACACTGATAACAACAATTTAAGTTTTATGACCGTACACACCTGGTGTAAAGCAATTACAGAGCTGATTTATTGCATCATTTATGGCACTGATAAGATATCTCATCTGTTCACATAAACAGCTCACAGTCTGTAAGTCTGTAAACTAGCAGTAAATAAATCTCTCATTTTGAACTGCATGCAATGAGTCAGGTGGAACAATTTTTAGATATCTTTTGCTCACACGTGTCATTTCCTCCCCAGACCGTAATTGCTTGCGGAGTTTCATATGCATTTGACTTCAGCACAAGATTTGGTGTTGACGTTGTTGGAGATATTCCAAAAGGGTAAGAAGGAAAACTTAATTTGTTTTTTTGTTAAAAAAAAAATAAGGTGGCTGGATTAGCACCATCGTCGCACAGCTAGAAGATCCCCGGTTTGTCCTGGTTAGGACGCCTGGGATCTTTCTGCATGGAGTTTGCATGTTGTCCCTTCCTCCCACACAGTCCAAAAACATGTTGTGGTTAATTGGGGATTCTAAATTGTCCGTAGGTGTGAATGTGAGTGTGCTTGGTTGTCTGTCTCTAAGTGTAGCCCTGTGATAGACTGGTTACCTGTCCAGGTGAACCTGTCTTCACCCTGAGTCCGCTGGGATAGACTCCAGTCCCCCTGCAACCCTAAGTGGTGTATAGATAATGCCCAACAAGCAGTGAATGTTCCCACAACTTTGGCTAACATTCCCTATAGGTTTCCTTAAAGTTAAAAAAAAAACACTTCAATGTAATGTTCAAAGAATATTATACTAACATTAGTATTTCAAATAATGTTCCTGTATTGTTATATGTGAACAAAGGTAGGACATTTTAGGTGCAACATTCTAAAGATGTTCCGGGCATGTTGTTGAGATAAGCGATCATAGAATGTTCCTCTATAAAACATTACCACAATGTTACATGATAACAAAGGAAGGACATTCTCCAAGAAACATTCTGAAAATGTTTTCAGAATATTATTAAAGCATCAGATTACATTGTTATTTTTAAAAACATTCTTTCAATGTTATATGATAATAAAGGAGGAACATTCTTAAAACCAGATTTTGAAAATGTTTTCAGGATGTTATTGATGCCTCAGATCCCACAATGTTTTTTTCTAAAACATTCCTGGTATGTGACATGTTAACAAAGGTGGAATATTTACAATGCTTACAAACCCCTACTAAAGTGCAGCAGGCCAGCGAAAAAACAAGCCAGGATCTGGCCAGAGGGTGCATCCTCAGCACTTCAAGACTGTTTTATGGACACTGACTGGGAGGTTTTTAAAACAGCAGCCTCTCGGGGTGATCAGACTGACGTTGCGGAGTATGCTGAGGCGATAACCAGCTACACTGCAAAGTGTACAGAGGATGTCACTGTCATCAAGACCTTCACAGCAACAACATTAGTGCATCATATTCTCGCAGTGTTGTCATTTAACATTTTAAGAGGGTTATTGCAAATCATTTTTAGAATGTTTTTAGAGAACATTATTCCAGAACATGCTTCAACATAGTCTAGGGGGGGCGACTGTGGCTCAGGTGGTAGAATGTGTTGGTCAGTGATTGGAAGGTTGCCGGTTCGTGTCCCGGTGAGGACACCTGGGAGCTTTCTGCTTGGAGCTTGCATGTTCTCTCCGGATTCTCCGGCTTGTTGTGGTTAATTGGTGATTCTAAATTGTCCGTAGGTGTGAATGTGAGTGTGTCTGTCTCTAAGTGTAGCCCTGTGATAGACTGGCTACCTGTCCAGGTGAATCTGCCTTCACCCTGAGTCAGCTGGGATAGGCTCCGCCCCCCATGACCCTAGTGAGGGTTAAGCGATGTATAGATGATGGGTGGATGCATTATTATAAATGTTGTCATTTAACATTTTAAGAGGGTTATTGCAAAACATTTTTTGAATGTTTTTAGGGAACAGAACATTCTGGGAATTTAAAGAAAACTTCCCGCTGAAAACATTGCAACAATGTTCCAGTCAACATTTTAAGAATGTTCCAAGAACCAAAAATTTCTAGCTGGGTGGATGGATGGATAAAAAATGAAATAATGCGGCTTTAGTTACTGCACTGGAAAACCCAATTACTTTTACAGCAAGTGTCACTGACTAAACCCACTAGGTACACCTCACACGAGGTAAAGGCATTTGTCATTGTATTGTTGGAAGTAAATGTTAAGTCCCACCATATATATTTAATATTATACATAATATACAACAGTCTGACAGACTTGCACCATTTTAGGTATGAAAGTCCGGTGGCCCCAAACCTGCAAATCTTCCAGGAGACAGCAGTGGATGCATTTCCTATAGCCATAGTGGGTTTTGCTGTGGCTTTCTCTGTGGCAAAAGTCTATGCTTTAAAACATGATTACACTATAGATGGAAATCAGGTATGTCACAACATTTTAACATTTACAGCAATACTGTAAAAGCTACAGGTTTAATGAGGACCTGTGTGTGAATTTAAATAATCAGGAGTGTGTTGTCTGGCTGTAGGAGCTGATAGCCTTTGGAGTCAGCAACATGTTTGGAGCTTCCTTTAAGTCTTTCGCAGCAAGTACAGCTCTCTCCAGGAGTGCAGTGCAGGAGAGTACAGGCGGTAAAACTCAGGTAAACTAATATATCCGTTTTGTTATTACCTTAATGTGTAACTCTTTACAATGCCATTCACAATGAAAGTGAGTAGTCATCGAGGAACAAAAAAGGAACAGTTCTTCGATGACCTGATGATTCATGAATTATTCATTAATAGCTCCTTAACAACTGAGATTCAAGCACTATAAAGTAGATAATGATTAGTTAGTAATGATCCGACTGTGTCACACATTAATGAATCCTTGGGTAATGGTTAGCTCATTAATATCTGTAAATTCCAATCGCTTTCCTCCTTTGTGATTAACTCATGTGCTCAGCGGCACATACCAGCATCGTTCATTTATTACTAATTACTTCATCGTAGCTCTTAAGATCTCGTTTGTGCTCTCTGGGTTAATATTGATAATCAAATTGTAAATTTCTAAGTGAAAACTGTCTGATTACTTTGTAGTTTTGTATTATGATGCTTTACTTCACTTGAGGAGGCACAAAAAAAACCTAATCAATGAAGTATGGCAGAGTAAATATTGAGTATATGATGATATGATGAATGCTGAAATCATTCCTTGCTGTCATACTGGTTATAAAAAGATGGACATGTGCTGTGATGCAATCTAAAGCAAATCAAGGCTTCTCCTATCTTAGTTGGACAGATTATCAGCTTATCTTCCAAAGTTGAAGAATTATATCCACTACATTTATTCAATTCAAACTGCTGGATAGCTTCTGGGAAACACCTGCATGGAGGGATGGCTGTGGATTTTGTTTCCCATCACTTAAACTACACTAAAAAATCATTAGGACATGATTTTAGTGATGAGTATGACCAAAAAGAATGATTGCAGAAAGCCAATCTGGTTCACTGTACATATAGGCATGTGACTATTGTACATGGTAAAATTATTAATATAATGTCTCCCTATATTTACATAACATCTTCCAGTCTGTTCCCGAGTAACTTCTTCTACCGCACAGGCTTATTGTTCAGGAGCTAATCATCCAGTTTATTGATTATCAGGTCATTCCTGTTTGATTCCTCAGTCACCAATTGCATTTTTACATTTACACAAGTACAGTAAAGGGGACTTATTATCCTCACTTGCAACTCTGTATTTTTATTCTGGGACTCCAAAGGAATAGCTTTGCATGATTCACAGTTCAAAAAAGTCCTTGTTCATCATATAGTGGACTTTCATGCAACTCCCTTATTCACCCACCGTCTGAAACACGTTGTCCAGCTACTCTCTCTTCTGATTGGCCCTCGTCTGGAACATACGAGTTTCAGACATTGAGGTAACATACATTTACCTCAATGTTTGAAACTTTGGCCACGTTTACGTAACAGAATTATTATAAATAATTAACACTTTTTTGGGAAGTGTTTAAACCAATGTGATTAAATATTGATAAGTACATTTTAACAGCACCAGTAGGTGCAGTGTGTTATATTTGAATGTAAGCACTGTAAGGAAAATATCATTGTTTTTACTAAAAAGTCATTTCTTGAACAGATATGCAGGGTAACATTTTACATACAAGATGTCCTGTCAGCTTAAAATATTTTTTTCATTTTTGTAGCTTACATTCACAGTCACCTGAACCTTCTACAACATTAGAATGTAATATATACATTAACACATCAGTATTAACAGATTAATTTAAAGTATGATAATGTACAACATTGTCCTTCATAATCAATATTTTTACACTGTCACTTTTAAGTTGCTTTTTCTAACACAATTTTTATTCAGATGAGGTTTTAAAACCAGGACTTATCTATCTATCTATCTATCTATCTATCTATCTATCTATCTATCTATCTATCTATCTATCTATCTAAATAATAAAGTTCAACCTCATGGTGGCAGAATACACAGTTGGAGTTTTATAAGGAAGAACAAACATTATTCTTCTGATGATTTCTAGTTTTCTAAAAAGTATTTTATTATAAATAAGTGTTCTTGGAATCAGAGTACTCACAATTCACAATGGGGGACTATTTCAAATTCTAAACAACCAGTGCCCTCCAGTGTTCAGAGGAGAGAACTATGGTATTCCTCTCCTGGTATTAATCATATGAGAATTGAGAAATTAAAACCTGCTTTGATGAGACAAGCATTTGCACACAGCTACAGGAATCGAAACATGATATTTTTGATAGCAGTCACGTCTGCAGTTTTTTTTTATCAGTTATTTACCTCTTCTGTTCCTTTCAGGTGGCTGGTTTACTTTCAGCTGTCATAGTGATGATCGTTACTTTGGCTATTGGATTTCTGCTGAATCCACTACCAACGGTAAGTAACCCGTTGTACTTCTTCAGCCTAACCAAGACTCTGACACAGCATATGATTTAGGTTTTTGGATTCTGACCTTTGGCCCTTTGATTTCACAGTCTGTGCTGGGTGCTGTGGTCATTGTCAACCTCAAGGGCATGCTGATGCAGTTCAGAGAAGTGCCATACCTGTGGAGGAGGGACAAACCAGACTGTGTAAGACCTCTCACACTCTGAGCAGTAAACAAGTGTTTTAAAAGACATAAATCTCTAGACTTGAGGATTTATTGTGTTCATTTTGTGATATCTGACACTTTAGAAAAAAGCATCTGTTTCTCACCATGTCCAGGTGGTGTGGATTTTAACCTGTATTGCAGCCATCTTGCTGGGGCTGGATCTTGGATTGGCAGCAGGCCTTGGTGTGGAGCTGATCAGTGTCGTTCTTAGGACTCAGTTGTCAGTATCTGGCCAGTAACTCTACCTAAATTCTGCACAAAATTTTACAGTGGTACTTCTTTGTGTCTTAACTTAAAATATTTTTTGGAATTCGTTGTAAGACAACGCAAGCAGCATGGTTCGAGTGCTGGCAATGTCGGTCGGCTTGTGTACCACTTTATTGAATGGATAATTAAATACATTTTCAGGAATATAAGAGATCAGAAATGTACCGAATGACTACAGTGATTATTCCTGTGGTGTCACAGCAAGATAGACATTTTTGTTTTTCTGAATAGAATTAATCACCTTGACATGCAGTAATCTTACCTCCAAATGGGTTGTAAGAACAAAAGAAACCTTCAAAACTACTGACACGGCCATTAGTATCAGCTGTACTTTGTATTCAGAGCAATTTAGCAGATGTTACCATGCAAACACTCTAAACTAAGATGATTACCATGGCCAATATTATACTTTTTAACACACCAGTATTTTAGCAGTTAGCTAAAAGCACCACTGTGTCACTACAGTCTTATACAACTGATAACATGGCTGTATACTCTTTGTCTTTTTACTATTCTAAACCAGACTTGAAAAGCATGGTTTTTGAAGTGTTGATGTCTGTTTTCGTTCCAGTCCTCGCTGCAGCGTGCTGGCCAACATCAGTGGAACAGATATCTACAAAGACAGAAAGGACTACATCAGTGTAAGTTCACTTGGTGTGTGTTCTGTCGGACCTTTCTGTTCAATAAGAGTTCAATAAGAAGATGTGTCTGTTAAATACAAGGTTGCCGTCCCCAGCCAGGTATCAGGCTTAGCATTAATGCTGGAATGCAAGTTCTGCCTAAAGGTACATACCACACTGTAAAACAGTGAATTAACTCTATAGACTTCTGTGTTTGTAGAATAGCTTCTGTTTCATATTTAACTGACATCAGTATTCTCATCCAACTCTCCGTCTCTTTCCCAATATGTGGAGCTGTTCCTTTAAGAATGTAAGTGAGAGTAAAAAAGTGCTCCAGTGTAGGTACAGAGTAAGGATTTGTTCTATGTTTGCATCTTAGCTTGAAAAGACTAGTTATACTGCTACCAGGGTTTTGCATTTATTTATGTGTCGTGGTCATTTCCTCTAGACATATGAACCAGAAGGAGTGAAGATCTTCAGGATCCCATCGCCTATCTTTTTTGCCAACATTGAGTTCTTGAGGACCAAACTGGTGGAAGCTGTAAGTCTCATCTCGCTGTGAAGTGTAATACTTAACGAAATACTGATTTGTATACAAAACCCTCAATTTTGCTGATTTAATTTTCAACAGTTTTCACCTGAGTGGGAAAAAAATCATAAAGGAAACTGTAAAAGGAAATATAGAACATGAAACCACTTCATGACAAACACATGTCTCTGAACTGTATAACCGCTCTGTGATCAGAAAAGCCACCCTGATCACAGAGGACCCCTCTCACCTCTCCATCAGTCCTTCCAGTTACTACATCAGGCAGATGTTACAAAGTCCCACTGGCCCGCAAAAACATCTACAAAAAAATCCTTTATTCCCACTGCAATAATCACCCTGAACAAAATGAAACAAGACACTGTACAATATTTTTTTTTATTTTTATTTTTTATTGGCTGCTGTTTCTTTTTAACATTTCTTTTAGATGGCTGTACTTTGTGAGCTTGTGTCTTACGTGTGTTTTTATGTGTTGTATTTTTATTGTTGGAGCCTTGTAGGAGAATTTCTGTCACTGTTTGGGACAGACAATAAAGTTTATCTATCTATCTTTCTAAAGCTCATGTTGTAAACTTAACAAGTTTTATATCTGACCTGATTCTGTTTCTTATCAATGCGTTTTATATCACACTTGTGTTTTCCAGCTTGGGTTTAACCCACTAAGAGTGTTGAGAAAGAGGAATAAAGCACTGAGGATGATTCGGAAACTTCTGAAGAGGGGGGAGTTGCAATGGACATCGGTAAGTGATGGCTTTGACCTTGCAATAACACGGCACACGCTTTAAACTCTCAATTTCACAAGGCAATTAAAGTCATGGTTTCTCTGCAGTCACTGTTATTGCTTCCAGTTTTGGCCAGATAACTCAGCAGTCAGCAGTCTAGAAATGTGTAATCTTTAACAATAAAATTAAAAAAAACAAAAAACAAAACAACAACAACAACAAAATCGGTCTCACGAAAGCACACTCACTGAAAGCTAAGAAATTCTAGAGAACATACTGAAGTTCAGTTTTATAGTGCCTGGAGAAAAATCTGGGTGTGATGGTATTCCTCAACAGATGGTACAAGATTCACCTGTACTTGTCTCACATGGAAGTAATTGTGTGAATATGATATGAAGGGGCCTTTGTGGAGCAGTTTACAACATGTCTACAACTAACCATGCAAGTTTACAATAACAACAAAGGTTATATTTTTTAGAATATAAAAGCTTTGCCAGCACTCTATAAAAGTAAATAATAAACAGTAAGCTAGCTGATGTATCATTGCTATTTTCACTTTCAAAGTGTATCTGCTCCTACCTGTAGTTACTAGAGAATATTAAATCTTAAAATCTCAGTGCTACTGTTCCCTCTTCACTCTAGACCTTGTTGCTGCCACACATTCGGTCAAGGGCGGTTGTAGACAGACAGTGTAGACACTCCTGCCAACAGTTCCTTGTGTCCTTAAAGACCAGACCATGACCTTCCTGTACTTCTCATCAGTCATTAACCACATTCACTTCCAAATGTAGCAGAATTTTTGATCGAAAGCCAAGTCGTGCAGCATTTTCTTTTTTATATGTATTTTGACCCTTCAAATTAACAATTACAGTTGTCTCTAAAGTCAAACAAGAATAGCCACTGCTGGGGCTATCCTAAAACAAGACATGTCCTGTTTCTACGAGGTGTGACTGAAAAGTTCCAGGACTGGTGGAAACTGGTAGTTTGTAGTTTGGATTTGAAATATATCTTTTGTGACACCAGTCCTGTAACTTTTCTGACACACCTTGTACATCTCCTTTTTCCTCTTACCTCTACGGTACAGTTTGTCCCTAAAGATTCAGACAAGAAATTCAGTTGTCGACCTCCTGAGCTCCAAGTAGTTTCTGGGTGGCTTTTACTCACTGTGGGCTCATTTTTCACTGCAATATAAAGTCCTGGGACCTCACTTATCATCAGTGCGTACGCACAGATGTGTGCGTAGTGAGTGCGTACAAACATTCCCACGCAAAGTATGGAATTTACCAACTTGTACTTATACTAAGAAATGTGCATGAATATACGCACAACTCTGACCATGCATACACACATAATCTAGCAGTAGAACAGTGAAACTACAACTAGAAAGCATTCAGGGATTTTTGACCACCGGCACATTCCAGCTTGAGGTTGGAAACATATGCGGCATTTCCCAGCCGTCCCTGAGCAGGATCATGCCGACAGTGTTGGATGCCATACCTCCCCTGGCCCCAGCCTACATCCAGTTCCCTTACAGCCATCACCAATGAGCCCAAATCAAAAGGGGACTTTGGCCCAAACATAAGTGGAGCCATAGACAGCACCCACATCACATTCAAAGCAATTTAATTATGTAAATAGAAAAGGGATTTATTCATCAACTTACAAATAATTTGCAATGCACATTTGTGGCTTTCCAACGCTGTTGCCTGGTGGCCTGGAGCAACACACGACTCATTCGTTGAGCAGAACAGCTCTGAGGGTGTGTGTCTCCAGGCAGAAGCTTTTGAAGATGGCTGGCTTATTGAAGAGTGTTACAGAGTGTGGAAATGCTTTTGCTGGACTTTGTTTAGTTATTAAAACATCTAATCTGTAGGTGATCAGGGTTATCCACTGGGTGAACGTTGGGTATTAATTTGTCCTCCTCCAGTTGCATCATTTCTCTTTCATGATGCGTTTTTTTGAAACTGAGTTTAACATCAAACCACTTTTTTTTTAGTAAATTTTATTTCTGCCAGTGATCTTTCCTTTCACCCATAAAAAATAACTGCGGTGGTTATCTTGTCCCATGCAGTATTTTTTTCTTTCACTGCTTATCCCAACATTTAATGCACCAAACAAGTTGTGGTTTGCTTCAATCTCGCTGACAAGTACCTCAATTTCGGTTTCCGAAATGTCCTCTTTTTCGCCCTCTTTGCCATCATGATGAGAGGTCAGGAGGGAAAAATCTTCAATTTTGTGTTGTTGCCGTATATGGTAAGTTGGAGGCATTTCTGAAGGCAAATATCCCGAAAGTGCACGAGCACGGTGGTTAAGAACAAGTGGGATTTATCAGCACTGATGACTTACTCATGTGTGTATGACCCATGTACGCATGTTTGATAAATACAGATGTTTTTGTACTTACGCACACTTTAAATTTCATTCGTACGGCTGAGTTTAGAACCTTTTGTATGCACTGATGATAAATGAGGCCCCTGCATCCTTGCATCCTAATGGAAACATCACAACCATGTCCAGATGTAGAAAGAACTCAAAAATCTCTTGCAGGATGAACAATTTCTTCAATAATCTAATGAATTTTAATACATTTTCTGATTATTTATTTAACAAAAAATGTACAAATCTAGAATCACCATGCACAGCATTTTTCTTTTTCACAGATACTAACAATACTGGAAAAAATATATTACTGCTTATAGTTGTACCACCCTGCAACTTTGCATTTTTCACACTTTTCTGCACATCAACTTAGGAAAGATGTTTCACCATGCTGAATATATCTTCTAAAATATGCTGACAACTTAATTTTGTCTCTTTTTTTTTTTGAACAAGTCATGTAGAATAAAAAGATGCCGATGGACATTGGCATGACATTAGATTCTTTTTTTTTTTTTTAATTTCATGACAGGGCTGCACATGATTAGTTCAAGGACTGTTAGAAAGATCATAATCCTTTGATTCTTCCTGTTTTTAAAGTTTCTGGCTCAGATAAATGATGTAATTTTGGCATTTTCTAAAGGTAGTATACCTTTTAAGAGGTTGAGGGTTAAATTAATGCAAGAAAAAACAAAAAACAATCTTGTTTGCTCCACAGTGCAATAAAATGACCACAGGTGGTGACTGTTGGTGTGACAGACTGCACCAGGCCTCCTTAGCTTTCTGTCCACAATCAAAGTAACAAACCCCAAGACCAGAGGTATTCAATTAAAAGTCACAGAGGTCCAGTTATTACAATTTCCTCTAAGTAAAGGTCCGAACTGAAGTTCAGTTTGTGTCTTATAGCCTTCCGCTATGGCCACATTTTCATAGTTTCAACAATACCTACTGTCAATTTTCAGTGCAGGATATGTTGAACTGAGTGCACAGCTAGCTCTTTCACCATATATATAAGTAGTCCCAGGCAAAAAAGTTTAAGGCTGTTATTTCAGATTAAGAAAACAAAAATAAAATAAATTTCAAAAAGTGCAAACAGAGCCAAATAACCCCTTTTTCTGTTAAATTAATGAGGTCCCAGCCTAAAGAACTGGAGGGCTCCACTTCAAGAAAAAAAAGTCAAAATCCTTAGAAAACAATAAATGAAAGGTTTGGTTTGCATGTTGCTGGGCTGCAAATGTGCGTGATGAGTGGGATAGATCTGTCATACTGGGCCTGCATCTATGTTATTTTGCGTGCCCTCAGCTCTGACTTCAGGGGATAACTTTGCTCTAAAGAGCTGTGCTTTGTTTCGTAGTGGCACTTCACGTTGCTACTTTTAATTAATGCCACGTTTTCAGAGCATATGAGGCACACTGGTTGCGAAATGCCTGATGGAAGAATGAACATACATTTCTCCGTCCACTCATCTTCAAAGCAACTTTTTTTCTCATCAACCTGCCTTCTTCTGGAGCAAGCCATGCTGTCATCACTGTCTCTTCCTCTCTGCTCTGCTGTATAGGCAAAGGCAGAGTGGCAGCGAGCTGTGGCGGTGCGCTGGCCGTGCAGGGTAACCAAACGCTTTGATTGGCCGACTGAGTGGAGCTATTGCAGTCATACCTGGAGTAGCAGTGCCCGCTGTCTAAAGCATAGACTGTATAAAAGATGGAAGTAGCAACCGGCCCTGAAAAATGAAGCCAACCCGGAAGTGTCAAAAACCTGCAATATCACTATGTCCACTAGTCCTGGCTCCACAAAGCCCTGGCTCCCATAAATTGGAATTGGAAAAGAAGTGATCAGATCACCAAACACTGCATTCCTACAGCTCAGGATTTTTTTTATTAGTTTTCAT